AAGATGAACTCTTACATTTTAAGGAATAAGCATTTTAAGAACTAGGGAGATAAGCACATTTCATGAGGCTACAGGATTTATTTGACATGAATAAATCCTTGCAGAAGAAAAGAAAGCTGTTGCTAGGGAAGGAAACAGATTGCACACTAACATTTTACAAAAAAAAAAAAGACACTAGATCTAGTAACACTGGGAAGTAAAATAATTTAAAGTCATCCATAAAACATACCTGTTCTAATTTAAAAAATAGGGTTGATCTTGATATTGTGGAAAACCTTGCCATAAAGACAAACTGTTGTAGACATGGAGATGGAAGGGCAGGACAGAATGTAGCCCAACACTTCACTTAAATATAATCAGTTAAACCTTGTTAAAACTGCAAGATCCAAAAATGAATCATCTGATTAGTCTCAGCTGGAAAGCAGCTTCCATGGCATGGGAAGCCATTATAGGAAGGAGAGGAGGAAACAGGGTTTTAAGACTAGAATCTAGAATTTGAGCAAGTAATCTGAAAGTGGAAGCAACAGATATATTCTGGATTGCATTGCATTTATGGTATTAATTTTGAAAGCTCTCAAGCAAATTAAGTCTATGAATATTTAATCCAAATATACAGATCAGTTTAAAAACAACTCAGTTGCAGTGAACGAGCAATCCTTCCACCAAATTTTATAACCACAACATTACTAACATGCATGTGAGCTTTACAGCAAGGGAAACTTCAAACCTCCTCCAGGAACTGTTGGGAAATTTTAGCTATAGAGCTTTTTGTAGGTGAGGAAGAGGAATGTATGCTTGTTCATTTGTGGAATACATCTAACAAGGAATAAAATAAGGAAAACACTACTACAGCCCAAGAAAAACCTAGACACATTTTCAGAGTTGTTTCCATCATAGCCTGATAGTATTTAAAAATCTCTTTCAGGTGAGATATGGATGTCAGAATTCATCATGGGAATAGTATCAAACAATAACAGAGGAATACTTAAAGAGGCTTTTGGACAGCTAGCTTCATTCCAGCATCTGAAATCAATGTGGAAGTAGAGCTAGGAAGAACTTCAGAAAACATTAATTCACCCAGAAAAGGAATGCATGTCCCACTGGCAAATTAAGAAAAAAAAGATACAGTCTACAAATCCCCTGAAAGTAGTCTTTCACAGATGGCCAAAACATGAGCAGGAACAATTTGGAGACAGATCATTTCGGATAGGAATATGGTGACGGCTTAACATACATGCATTGGAATTCAGACAAACGAATTATACTTTTAGTTCCCTCTCCAACACTTTAACAAAGAAATCTTCCATATTATTGAAACAGTGCAATGCTGCCCTCAGAACAGCCTAGGCAATTAAATATAACACATTTTTAAAGCACATATGCCAAGCTCAACAACAATTGGCACTTCGGCAACAGATATTGTGGCCATGAATCTAATGACCTAATAAAATAAAGCTGAGATAGGCACCAAGAGGCTTTTCAAACTTATAGATGCAGCAGCTAGTATACTGCATTACAGTCCATTTGTGTTGGAAGCAGAACAACAGAACCTTCTGTAGGCATGATCCTGTAAAATAACAGAGAGACTGAACTTCTGAGGCACAGACCACTGGTATAGGCCAGGTGGGCTTCTGACCATTTTTATTCCTGCTTCACTTCAGGAAACAGGATTTTGCAAAATTGTTTTAAATAAGAACACAACTATAGGATGCTCCTAACATTTGTCACCTATTTACATATTACCCAAACTGGAAATTGGGAGACTGACAAAGAAACAGTATTATTAAAATTTAATAAAGATGTTAACTAAAGCAAGTATTTACTCAAGCAACATAATATGGAGGTTTTCTATGTACAGTTCCATACTTTTGATTGTACTTGTTTTGTTTAAACTGATGTTAATAATCACTACAGTAATAGCCCTTAAACTCACAAATGAGCAATACTCCCCTTTATATGTGGGGATAGTTTAAATCTGTGAAACTTCATTTCTATGAGATGCTACAAAATACAAGATTTTGCTCAAAACAAAGTAAGCCTAATAGTAAAAATATTGCAAATTATAGTTACAACACTTCTATAAAACAGAGGTCATACTTCACATCATCTGTTATTCATATGGAAGTATGTGATACTCATTTCCATTTTCCAATACTCCATGGTATCAGTCTTAAAATCTTATTCTTACATTCTTGTTTGCTTTTTTTTTTAACTCCATAATGAACAGTACTAATTTGCTATATTTCTTCTGGCTAATATACATAGGATACCATTTAATCTCTAGGCTTTTCAGGAAAAATATAAGGTTTTTGAACATAATGAATTGGCTGGGTGTGTTCAAGATAAGAACCCTCAAGGAAAACAAACAAACAAACAACAAACGGTATTTACTCTACCGGACCAGTTCTCATAAAGAAATACAGACCTTTGTCTTCAAAACAGTGCCACAACCCCAGGCAATTAAATAGCATTAACTGCATCTAAAACAGTATTTCAGACAGTATCTACCATTTTTCAAAAACTGTATTTTACCTGTTTTCTAGTCTTAAATGTAATAGCCAAAAAAGTAACCCTGGTTTTCAATTTTTTAAGAAGACAGAAAGGGAACAGTCCCAAATATTATCATTTCACACTGTCACAGCTTCCTTATTCTTATCTGGTGTTTCTTAGGAAGGCCTAGTTTACAGAACTTCTTAAATGCAGAAATCTCAGAAAATTAAGAAAATTGCTAAAAATCTTACGGAATTTTCATCATTGCTATGTTCTAGCTGTTGTTTAATATACTTGAGAGTTTTGGTTAATATTCAATATATCGCTATGGAATATACTTTTAAGCATGAACCCAATACTGACATCTCCTGGTGACCAGAATTACAGATTAGTTTCACAGGAAAAAAAATGTTTAAAGTACACAAAGACAATAAATGGACAAATTACTTGTAAAGACTAATGTAAAGTAAATATGAATGTCAGTGATTTAATCCATTTTAAAGCAATGCAGATGTTACATTAGTGTTACATTAAATACCACAAATCTAACAGCTGGCTTCCACTTCTCATTTTAAAACAGGAAAATAGTAACTAATGAATCCTTATGGACTAAATATCTATTGTTTAGTCCTGTGACAACAAGCAAGTAAACCTGGTGATTCAGTTGAATCAGTCCTTTGTTTCTATACAGCAGCTGTCCTTTAAAACACAAGAATTTACCTTCCTTTGCCTGAAAGTAGTAATTTCATATGTATTCCTTTTAATGAAAAATGTGAACTTCAAATGTTGACGTGCAGGATTTCAGAGATCTTCTGTCCCTTCTCCATAATTAGTATTATTGGGTCATGCCTCACAGTGGCCTACAGTGGAATTGCGAGTTGACAAAAACAAGACATACCAAGTACATGCTGGCTATCCTCATTTTTTTCCTGTACATTGATGGCTTTCCCCTTTTCCCAGATTTCGGGTATGAGATTTTTGGTGTGATGTATTTCCATCACTGCTTCTTTAAGATGCCATGAATGCTGTTTAACAGGTACCTCTTAATATTGGAAAAGCATCACCATTTCAGCATTCTTATAAAGGAATCTCCTTAATTAGAAAATAAAGTTTTTTAAAAGCCAGTTCAGTTTTCTCAAGGTAGAAGTACTCACAGGTACAACTCTTTGATTATGAACAAGATTTTACCTCTCTCCCATAAAACATGCCTATATTCCTCCCTCACTGAAACTATTCATACTTCCACTTACTGATCTCTTAATCATTCATATTCTGCAACATTACAGAACACAATTAAAATCCTTGTTTTTAATAACTGAAGCCATAACCCTCTCTGCACACACTGTATCTGAACACTCGTCTCAATCCCAAAGAGGACTCCAAAAGAGCAGAACACTGCAGGACAAAAGCAGTTCACATGACTGATTTCATTAAGGGATTAAAAATTGCATTTAGAATGGATTTAGTTACAACAGGTTTGATAAGCTTGGATAAATGAAGCCTAAAACATCCAGAAATCTGATTTAGGCACTCCAAGGCCAAGATACCTAAGACAATCTAAATCAGATTTCTTTCTCCTTTACAACAAAGAACCTCAAATTGAAAAATAGGTCCAATAACCTCACAGCAAGCTATTACGTATGAGGGGATGTACGCCCCTAGCTTTTTCTTATTTTTATTAAGAAAATAAAGCACTGTTTATGTATGCTTAACTTTCAGTTAAGTCTCTTAAAAACCTCTTCTCTCTAGGTCAAAACTTTACAAGTAAAATTTCACATTAGAGCGTTAAGCCAACACCAGACTTGTACAACATGTAGCTCCCAGGCCAGCACGGCCCACCAGCAGGCGAGAGGCAGAGCGCTCCGTCTGCAGCGGGGTGGCAGAGGAACCAGGGGCAGTCAGTGAAGGTACTGCACCAGGGAGGGAGCTAATACTGGCATGGGCAAGGGAGATGTGGATGACTACTGCTGTAGGAAGTAGGGAATCCTGTGTTAGGATTTTAATGTCCACACACATTGCTGCTCTACTGCCACAACGCTACGGTTGTGCAGTGAAAGTCTGACAAAATCTACATTACAGCACCTTCATTGGCTCTAATAAAATAAAGTAGTCACCTAAAATTATTCTAACTATTACTTAAATTATTATGTTTTTCACTTCATAAAGAAAGCATCTTACTTTTTTTTTTTTTTGAAAACTACACTACAGTCATATTGGAAAACTGTATTCTTCAAAGCCTTTCTTGTTATCACTTTTGCATTGAATGCCATCTTAACAAAAACAGCTGTTATACAAAAAGGTAGATAGTTCAAATTACAATTATTTAGTGATAAATCACAGCATACACACAGTAAATATCCACTGAAACAGTTGTCTTATAAGCACACAGAAGACAATCAACAAAAGAAATAAAATGGATTTGAAAAAAAGGCACAGTAGAAAACAGTATTTTTAGTAAAATACAGCAAAAGCATACGTAACAAGGTGCAATCTATATTATCTAAACATACCTTTCCAAGATCTGCAGCCTGTTTTAAAATATCTCTTTTTAGATCTTCTGCTCTCTTGGAATGAAAAGAATTACTTTGACTCTGGATGATAAATACAATTTCTTTTAATTCTGTGAACCAGAAAATAAGAAGATTTAAAGACAAAAGAAGTTATTTTCACTTTTGCTCCAAACCTAGTGAGAACCCGGCGGAGGGGGACGGGACCTATTACATAGCAAGCTATTTCTTTAGTTATACAAACATTTCATGAAATAGTAAAAAGATATAATTTAACATACAAAAAAATTCCAAAACAGTCCTTTTAAGGATTAACATATAAAAAGCATGACATGACTAGTAGATCTGCAGCAACAAAGAAACTTATGCCCACAGTTAAGAGTAGCCACATTCATGAAGTTGCTTTTTCTCCAATACACTAGCTCTCCTTATTACCAGAGTTAAAAAGTGTTAGTCAGAGACCAGCATCTCCCCTGACTAGGCAATGCAGGAACATGAAATAAAAAAGATGCTTCCTCAATAAAGAGCTTAAAACCCTACCCAGAAACATCAGATGGAGAGACACGCACATGAGAACAATCAGGTAATACTCTTATCTAAGAGGAAAGCATCAACACCTCACATGTGTCTTCAAAGTGTTTAAAGGCACCATATTTAAGAACATTCAATGGGAGAGGAGACTGTGAGAAATTTAAAAGAAAATAATGAAGAAGCTTTGCAAACATTTATGGATAGAAAATAGTGCTTATTAAAAAATACAAGTAGGTGATAAAGCAGATAGCCATATTTTCTTAATGATAGTAGATAGAATAACCCCTCAACACTTTGAAAGCTAAGAAAACCAAGGATGTTTGATCCCATTCAGAAGCAGAACACAGCAGAGGACAACAGAGGATGAGAAGGTGAAAGGAAGAAGAGAGGACAGATGCCCTTTCCAAAATTCTTAACAAGTTTGACCTATGCTGTATAACCCAACCCAAGACCATAACTAAGTAGCAATCAAGGTATAAGATGAGGAGAACCGCACAATATTGCAGTTTCTATTTGTTTGGCCAGAAAAGGCTGAACTTTACAGATACTATACAGAAAGTGTGCAGATGAGGAAACTCAGAATATAACAACTTAAGAGATTCAAGTCAATGACCGACCAATCAATGCTTAAGGAACAAAAAAGTTGCCCAGTATTCAACAAGATAAGTAAAGGACTTGTGGGGATTGGGGGGGATTGAGAACTGCATTTAAATTCTGTCACTTGAGGTGAGTCAGATCAAGCATAAGAGATAACAGATTCTAGTTAATTCAACGAGGAGACAGCACAGAAAATGCTGCTGAGTTAATGTTTACAGATGACATCACTCCAAGACAAGACAGTACCAAAAGGAAAGAAATTAAAGTCCCATGGGATCTGCACAGAATGTCAAAAAATGTAGAGAAGGAACAAAGTGCGCACCGAAAAAATTATATAGGTAACAAAAAAGCAGAACTTAAAGACCACCATCATTAGCAACATTATGAAAGCTGACAGGGAAAATAAAGATATAAAACCTCTAGGAGAGCTTCCTAAGAACATTCTCTGGTATTCCACTGAAACCAAACTTTCAGTGAGATACAGGAGATTTCAAATTAAAGACAGTCCAGGATGAAAGTTCAGTAGAGAACTAGAGAATCATGGCTGATCAAAAGCTGCCAGATTTTACTACAAGCAATGTCTGTGAAGACAAACATCCCAAGTATAGAGTACCTCAGAGGAAGCACGTGAAGCTTCTTGTCAGGCAGCAAAGCATTTCAACACTTTTAATCTGCAGTTTCACTGCAGTATAAATTCAAGTTTTGTATCATGCAATATTTATTTTTAAAGTGTATGTTCTTGCACTGTAGATCAAGTCAACCTAAAAGATCCTAGTGTCGTATCAAGATCTTGACCTATAGGTTAAAAATACTAACTTGGCAGAGTAGAATGAGTGAAGAACAGTGGAACAAAGATGGAGAATAAATTTCTGAAGCAAGCAAGAAGTAGTCTCCATAAAAAAGAGTAAAACTGAGCACATGAAGAAGGATCACACGAAAAACAGTGGCAACAAAAAGAGCATTAACCCCAAATATCTTCACTAAGATTATGAAATTACGATGTCCAAGAACTGAGGATCAATTACATTCCTTTGTTCCTCTTAACAGTTACCTGTTATTTTAGACCTATGACAGCTCAAAATTGGAGTTAAATGTTTCTACTTTACCCCTGATATTCTTTTCCCTCAATTTATTAGCTTATTCACCAAGACAAGCTCTGAAAATGTCAAATTGTGTGAGGTTTCTGGTGATAAAGATGCAGAGATGGCATAAGCACTGACATAGATATCAGTTCTGATTTCACATTTTTCCCACGCAGTGTTCCTTCATGCTCTGACCCACCAAACAAACTGCTTAAAAAAAGCATGCACAATAAAAACTTCTGAATAGCAGCTTTTTGCTATCTAGCAGGATATTTGCTAAATTTCCTGTGCAAAAATTAAAATTAGTGCAAAATTAAAATTATACTTCATTGATGCTAGTGAGAGTCAAAGGGCTAAATCTACATACACAACACTGAAAATAACCCTAGAGATAAAAAGCAAAAACTATATCGCTTTATATAATTACTGTTTTAGAATCAGCACATTTACAAATATGCAAGCATCTGAACTACACTCAGTTTCATTTACAGTACATTTAACAACAGCTGTGATATCCCACAACAGAACACTTTCCAGGAGTAATCTAAGACTTACTTTGGTGTTACTGCTTTAATCCAATGGAAATAGTTTCCTTCGCTATAGGCACTTTAAAATAGTTCATAAAAAGAAATATTCACTGTATTAAAATGTCAACAGAAAATAGGTATAATTTTAAATGCCTAAATTGTTTCTGAAGTTGAGAAATAGTCAACAGCAAGACAAAAATTCAAGTCTTTTGGAAGATTAATATCCAGAAGAGCTACTGATATGTGGATACTTTATTTCTCTTGTTGTCTCCTTTTCTCTTTTATTTCCCTAGGACATTTACATACCTGGAAAATACCTTCAACAACCTCAAATACTCATTGATTGGAAAGATACTGCAAGTTCACATTAAAAAAAATTTAAAAATAAAAAAATTGGGAAACAGGAATGCTGAAACTTCCCAAGTCTTACCACAACCATTGCTCATTGCTAAAGAGAATGGAACCTTAATCAATTTTTAACAAGTCCTTAACAGTAACGTGGGTTTTAGCAAGTATACAATGACCCTATGCAAAATACTCCTCCTTAGGAATTGTCACTAAATCAGTTCAAAAGATGGCAATGGGGAAATATTGCTGTTTGGAAGATAATAATTTGCAGTGTAACGACAAGCATGAATAAACTACCTGTATGATTTTTTTTCCCAAAGTTTATTTACCACAAAAGGCTGTTTTAGTCAACTGAAAACTACTGAAAAAAATTAAACCAAACATTTCAGGCAAAAATAAGGAGGAAAAAAGCTCCTAGAAGAACATATGATGATGATGATGCCTGCTAGCCAGAGGTTAAAGCATTCACCTAGGATGGAAGAAACCCAAATTCTCATCTGTGAGGCAGTTTGGGCCTGAATGTAGGTCTCTGGTGTTCCAAGTCAGTCTCTCAATTTCCAGGCTGCAAGTATATTCTGAGGTGGGTTTTCCCCATTCCCTTCTATTGTTCTAGAAATGGAGAAGAGTGAAAGTGAATGCTGAGCTTCCCAATTACCTAACTCTTCTGAAACAGTGGGAATCTAGAACCATGTATCTGACTCGCTGAATGTTTAAACACATCATTAAAAAGGTAGAACAGGCATCAACAGGAAAGACAGAATTCCATGATGATTTATATACTTCCCTGGAGTATGTGTGACATGGTCCAAACCCCTTCCGCAAAAATTATGACTTTAAAACAACTAGGATGCAGTCTAACCACTGGCCTCTAATAGGTAAAAGAATGCCACTGACATCTTGGTGGCTCTGTCAATGGTGCTTAAATCTAGCTCCTCTTTTATTTGGGTTTTTCTTTCCTAAGAAATTATGGAAATAAAATTAATTTCTTTAAGGCTAAATGGAATATTTGAACAATGAAAAGCCAGTGAGAAAGTACAAAATGTATCATCATTTATTCAGACAAAACCTAAACTGCAGAAGCACTGGTGCTTTAACTCACAAACCGGAGATTCCACTCTGTAGGTCAGAAAACTCAGCTTCCAATTTGAGTTTAAAAAATTAGGCCACCTGCATATTCTGTAAGCCTTTCCCTACTTTTATGCTAACTCTAAAATTAACCTGAAACTCCAGATCAGGATCTTTTAGTTCTTATATTTTGAGCAGATTATTGCAGCTTAGTATAAAGCTTCCACAGTTAAAAGTAGAGACAAGTCTTTTCTCACACTAGGAACAATAATTTTTAAATGTGTTTATATGAAGTTATTGGGATCTTTCTGGATTAAAGGCAGTGTATGAATATATAGAGAGACAGACAGATATAGAGACACACAATCTCATCTGTGTGAGTGCTTATTTATTTATCATATATGCCATCAACATCGTAATGACTGATTTATCTGTTTATGGCCTACAGCATGAGAACTGAAAGCCATCTTAACTTCAAACACTCTCTCAACAGTTTGAGTATTTCTGATATTCCTATTTCCTGAATTTTACTAAAATACTTGCATTACTACTATCCAAAAAAACCCTTTAAAATAAATTCCAAAGCCACCACATTTTTAGTACACTTGTTTACTTCTTGAAATTAGAAATAATAGTATCTGGTTGTTCTTCAAACTGCACACCTTTTCCTAGTTTTGTAATACATAAAGTATGTTGCTTACCACTTCAGAACTCATAATGTGTCTTAACACTTACTTAACAACAACAACAACAACAAAAAGAATTCATCACCTACACATTTGCTGTTACTAATGAAAAAACTTACTTAAACCTTGCATGTCATTCTCACCTTTCCAACCAAACTTCCCTCACTAATTCCTAGAGAGCCTAGATAAAATACAGAACTAGGCCAGACAGAATATTAAAAAGATATAACTGCAAAAAATACTTTTGATCCTTTCAGAATATTGCAGGTATTTGCAGATCAGAGGAAGTGTAACATCACCATATTTTCAAGAATCAAATCAAAGAAAAAAAGCCTCAAGACTACTTCATTCTTCTTCTCTCATTTAACATACACGTTAAAAAAAGAAAAAAGAAAAAACCCAAACCAAACACCCCCTCATCACACAGCAAAAAGCTAGTAGATACTCTCGTGGTGAAAGAATGACTCAACCTACCTTGGATCTCAGTCACCCTCTGGAAGTGCCCTCTCTTTCCACAGATTACAGAAGGAATCCAGAGACCTCACACTCCGAAGCTCAATGTTTCCTTGAGTTTCCAAGGAAGGCAAAATCATTGTACACTAGCCTGAAATAGCCAGTGCCTCACTTCAAGGAGAGATTTTCTTTTGTTATTCAAATATTATAAAAGCTGAAAACACTGTTGGTCAACAATATAGCCTACTATTTGGGGACAAATACACCCACCAATAGAGTACCTGTACATCCACCTGAAGGGCAAGACTTTTTGCTATGGCATGGCAATGACGACCCAACACTGCTAAGTCACATCATTTATCTTTTGGCTGAACAATAACATATCCATGCATGAAACACTTTGCACACCACTGAGTCCAGAAAGCTACATCATATTCTGGGTAGACAAAGCAACCACAGGAACACGAAGTTTTCTCTCTACTACACTTGTCTTCCCAGCGACTAGAATATCAGGTTGCTGATACCTGTTTTCAAAGGCTTGACTAAGGACACTTAAAAAGATGTCTTAAAACTTTGAAAGGAGAACTACAGATGGTAACTTTGCTTCCTTGGTACAAAGGTACAGCTTATCTATGAAGGAGAAAGAATTTTCTTATATAACAGTTTGAAACAGAAGAATGAAGCATCACAGGAACTAAGAACCATCAAGAACTTCACTCTGTTTCAAGTCCTTCCTTGATTTTACCCACAGAAATGGGTTAAAAGAGAAAAAAAATTATTTCTTAAGGAGAGGCAGAATCCTGTTTAAAGAAAGACCGAGAACACAAGAAATGACATATTACATCAGACCAATGGTCCACCTAGTACAGTATATTGTCTTTAACAGTAGCAATAGGAAACACTATTTGGGGACACCACAAGACCTTCACTTTCTCCAGTACTCCTCATACTCTAACAGCATCTACCACTATTATGTTAGAAAATGCCAGAAGATACATTACTGTCTATTTATCTTACCATGTACTTATGGAGTTGTCCCCTTTTGAAACTGCTGGTATGGTCTGCTTCTACAATCTCCTGCAGCAGCAAGACTCTAAGTTTTACTACCTGCTGCATAAAATACTTTTGTTTGTCTGCTTTAAAGAGATCTACTGAAACAAACAATAGATGACAGATGGTACTTACATCACTAATGTACCATTGTAACGTTCCTAAATATAACTTTCCTAAGTAATGAGATTCTATTAAAACTTATGAAAACAGAGCACTGTCAAAAGCTAAAAAAAAAAAAAAAAAGCCTGTCAATGCCTCCCTGCGTGTTTTATGAAGTGAGACACAGCAGATCTGCTGGGGGTGATAAAAGCAGCAACCAGCACCTGGCTGTACTATGAGATTGCACAGAAAGAGATGAAAGAACACAAAGAGGAAACGGACTTTGTTTGACACCAGATAAGGATGGGTGAACAGGGAAACAGAATAATAAAGCTTCTATAAACAGGTCCTGACCTTTCAATGGTAAAATGGGAGATAAATGGGACAAGAGACATAATTATTTTCCACAAAAGTGGTTATCAGGGTTAGGGACAGAGCTTGCAACTAAGTCCAAAAAAAGCCAACAAACAAAGAAAAACCAGATCTTCTCAGCACCATTCAGAGTTCTGTTAGTAACTCCACAAAAAGCATGCTAAGTCTTCCTGGTGTTCAGCTTTGATGTCAGAATGAACTCACAACTACTCAGAAACTGCTACAACAGAGACACGTGTAAGCTGGCTCTTTTTAGGACAAGCAGACCCAAGTGCTCAGGGTTTAGAAGAGTGAGAAGTACCATAACGGTCCAAGCTGCTTTAAGAATTGAACTGCTATAGTATAGCAGAGGCAGCACTAGGTTACAGTGCAGAGGTTGCAAGTGCTCATCTCAGGTCTGTAAACTTTTTACTGGAAGAACATCAGACTTGTTTTCAGAAAAGGCAGAAGCTGGCAGAATTTTTGTTTACATAATTTATCTCACATGTCCAGTAAAAAAAATTATTTTACCACTCAGTATCCTATTAATGTTTGACATGTTTCTTAAATACTTGCTTCTAGATATTACAAAGTTATTACAAATAATTTATAATAACCCTCGTTATTTAGGGTACCATATAATACCATGAGAGCCTAGCAGAATGGTAAAATTCAGTTTCATGTTAAATTTTTACAAGAACAGCTACTAAGTGTGATGAAGTTTTATTTTAAAATATTGTGTACTACAAAAAGCAATGCATCAATTTCATAGTGCAAGCGCACATTTTCAGAAAAACACTTAACTACAAGAATTGCAAATAAAAACAAAGATCGAGAAGCTTCTGTTTGATGAGACTACATGAGCAAAGCAAAAAAACCCAAAGTATTTGGGAATCAGCAATTAACTAACAATGCTGTTAAGCATTTAGGCACTGTTCCTACAGCAACTTTTCAAAGCATAACTGTATTTTATTTATACTAAAAAGGTAGCTACAAGTGAAAACAAATACAGACTATACAGTACTCACCTCTGCTTATTTTACTAATTGTTCCACTTTTTTGAGACTTCTAGAAGGAAAGAAAAAAAGCAAAATAAGGATACACACAAAACCTCAAATATTTCTATAGAGACACACAGGGAGTCAAAGCATTCATCAGGTTGTAAATGCATACATAGAGGTTTTAACTCAACAACTAATAAAAAAAACTAAAGTAAAAAGTTTTTCATCATCAAGCATTGAAACATATTCTACATGTTTGTATACTAGTACTTAGACAATACAGTAAAAGAAAAAAAAAAAGAGAGAGAGAATGCTTTTCCATGACTCAATTTATACCAGAGCTCTTTAAGTTAATACTAACAATGTATTTTTTTTTTAAATTTTTTTTTATTTAATATGTATCTCCTGAGCACAAAGTTTGGAATATGGAACTCTATAATACAAACACACCTATTCAGTCTGTTAAGAAAAGCCCAACACACCCTTATTCATTTGATCCACTATCAAGCATCTATTGAAACACAATTCTTAAAGAAAGACTCAAAAGCAATTTATATCAAGACAAATAAATATGAAAAGGCTGCTGTACATAACATGACTTCACTGGCATTTACTCAGGTATCACATACATTTGTGATGGAATTTTAATGGAGAGCTGCTGCAGAACAGACAACAGTGACATTGCATTTGCATCGTTAACCAGGAAACCAAGAAACACACATAAAAATATCTCAGGAGCAAATTTAATTGCTTCTAAATAACAGAGGTTGAGTGGAAAGGTGTTGTTTAAGAACTGTTGACTAGTAGAGAGATAGGACTGGAGAAACAGCTCTCCACTTCCTACGAAAACTGTACGAAGGAAAATGGAGCCTTCATTTATTGCACAATTTCTCCCTGGTAACAGCACCTCAAGTGCTTTGGTTTCTCCACATGAAAAATCAAGATCATCTTTACTAACTGCATAAGGATGTTGTAGGATTTACCTTTGTTCAAGTGTTTTAAGACATTCAAGTAGAAATGCCATACAAGGCACTCCTCAGTAATAAGCTTGCATATAGTTTTCCTAGCCTTGTGAATTAATTCCTAAACACATTTTTTTTCTCCCCCCTTTATTAAAAAAAATACCGTATCCATCTAATCCTTTTAGTCCTACTTGCATCAGATGATCACCCCCCCTGCCCAGGTCTGACTTTTACACTGAAATGCATAAGCTCCAACTTCCTTGGTAGCCATCTGTAAAACCTTTTCAAGAATGACTGCGTTGCATCCATGCTTATGACCCTTTTTTGGTGTCTGGGTCAATAAAGTTTAAAAAAATTCTTGTAAGACTAAGTTATTTTGGTGACTATACACAGTACTGCCACCATCTTACAGTGTAATATACATCACATTCTAAGTTAACCTATATCATAAACAACATGGGAAGATTAATTTTCTAAGCAAAGAAAAAAGTATGTTTTGTGGTACACAGTGTGATGAACAAGCCATATTCTACAATTGCCATTATTAAAACAGAAAACAAACCAATTGTTGCCCATTACGTTCCTGTTAATGTTAAAAAAAAAAAAAAAGGAAAAAAAAGATTTTGGCTTTAAGAGTTCTAGGACGCACCTCTGACTTCATCTGAGGGAAGGTTTTGAAACTCTAAAATAGTAGGAAAGCCTTCATAAATTATATCCTATATAAGAATGATAACATTAAACAGCTGGATTGAAACAGTAATGGAATTTGACAAACAGCAGCTTACATTACCTAGTCTCCCAGAGACACTGCAGCAGATCAGCAGTTTGCAATAGGGATCTTTTTCATTTATGAAAAATACTATAGGTATAGCAGTCATCATCAAAAACAAAAAACTATTTAGAAACACTTCTTTGACCATACTTCTATTGCATTTGATGCGAGATTGCTAGTTCTAAGTGGCAGTTGTAGATTCTAACTCTTGATTCATTCCAGTACTTTTTTTTTTCATTTTCCTTCCTTAAATCTCTTTTATATGTACACAAATATCTGTTACAAATATTTACATATTAAAAAATCGGTAGACAGAAGTCTGTTAAAGGACATACATGCATACGCACCTAACACCTGTTTAATAGTAGGGCTAGCTCTGACCATTAGTTCTTCTAATCTGTTAATTTGAAATTTCATATGCAAGCTTTACTTAAGCCATGACTTGGGTAGCAATATGTAATAATGCTTATTTAGTGGAGAGGCAGCCACCTCCCTCTCAATGTATTATATATTTAACAAAACCAAGAAGAAAGCAAAACCTGTCTCTGAACTAATAAAGGCTATATACTCAAAACCTATTCTTAACAGCAATAACACTATCAACTTGTAGAAGCTAGGCAAAATTGCCAAGTTTTTTTTTACTGTAATTTTCTGATGCACTCTTCAGCTAATGCTGGAAAAAGTAAATAAATTGTTTCCTAAATTATAATTTTGTTCCAAAACAAAACCCCCAAAATCTAATTCTCTTAATATAAATGTCAATGTAAGTCAGAAAAAACAGCATAAGAAATTAAAAGTGCCAAGTATAAGTTTATTCTCATAATTCTAAGAATCCATAGGATAAAATTAAGATCCTAGTAACACCAGAAGAGTAGAGCTACACGTAACTTGTGTGCCATTAAAGGTCTCTTATATGCCACACAGAACAGAAAGACATTATATGACATTTAGCACCACTGAAGTCAGTGATCAAACTAATCAATGTCACAGATGTTAGGCTTTCTGCTCTGGTCTCTTCTGGATGATTTTATAATGTCTGTAAAATGTTCCTGCTCTGGCAATTAAAATTTATTACCTGCAGCACTGGTAGTTCAGTCTCATCTTCTGCACCTTCAGGAACTACACTTACAGCAAAAGCTGAAAGAAAAAGCAGACTTTTTTTCATATTATAGGAGCTCATTTTCACACTTGACAAAGTTCTGCAGCAAAAGAAAAAAATATTTAGGTAGATTTTCACATTAAATGATACTATATTGGTAATAATCTTTATGAACACGAGACAGTCCGTTCTTAGAGAATTTAAACATTTACTGCCTGACAATTCTATTCCCGTACATCGCTGAGAAGATCACTCTTTGATGTGAAGCCAATTTATCTTGGCTTCAAGGCAAATAATTCCCATTGGAAAAAAAAAAAAATCAAATCTGTTGAGTCCAGTAGTTCACTTGACAACAATATAAAGTGCTATGACATGGGAGATCTGCATTCCACTCTATCTTTAGGTTAAAGTTTGGATTACCAAAGCTTCACTTGGAACCACAGGAACTGACAGCAGCTGATGGAAACTTCTATCAAACTTGAAGATCACTGTCATACGCTTTGAATGCTGTCTTTGAACAACAGTCAAAATTCTTAATATGTAGGAGACCCAAATAAACGCTTACAAAAAGAACAGAGACCCGTAATAGCTAATTTGCACAGACCTAGCATTATCTTAAACATTTTATACTGACACCACCCTATGCATACACTTCTGGTTTGTATTAGAAAAATAATCATAATAAAGGGTTCTGCTTTGGTTTTGGATATTTTTTTTCCTTGTTGATGTAGTCATCTAATCAATCTGTCTCAGCTTGCTTGTTTGTAAAAGTAGTTCCATTTAACATAAGAAAGCTTTGCTAAGATTCTTCATAAGGAGTCTTTTTCTTAAAGGTACTAAAGAGATGCAAATGAAAGCAAATTGCTATAATTTGGAAGAAACTCAAGATACTACTCATCATGGTCAAATAGACGGTTTTCTTAAAAACTGGGGCAGAAAAAAAGTATCAGCAGATTCAAGTGGAGTGTCTCACTGCAAGTTTAATTTACTTATTCCTTGAAATTGATTTGAAAGTGAATTGCTAGCAAACATCAATTCCTTTGACACGCTAGAAACCTGGAATGTAGGAAAGCAAGAAGACAAGATTGTCCAAAGCCTGTGGTGCTCCATCTCTGACTACCAATACCCCTATGCTCTTTCAACTGGAGACCAAATTTCATCAAGTGTCTAACAGTTGAGTTTCACAATGACATCGCAGGTCCCGACTAACTTGAATCTCAACTCATACCACTAGATGCAGACCACCCCCAATCATTCTAATGCAGTAGACTCATGTTGACCATAGCCACATTTCAATAAGGCATTTAGCCAGGAAGAAGAAAACAGAGCACAAGTAGGAGTGTCTCCCCCAATGCTGTCCTCAAGTAAATGTTTTGTACTTCTAGTTCAAAAGTGCACAGAGAATACCTCAATCTGCCTATTATACCCCTTGCTGACAGCATGTTCTGATCATTTTCCTCCTTCTCTTCCAACATAACAGTACTTACAGCTCCAGATAAGGAATATCTTCCCCTACACAAACCAGATCCACCTCTTCTACTTGACATGATCTTAATTACAAGATCAACACAAACCACCCTTATTCTGGGAAATGTATTAATTACATAGTATTAACCTGAAGAAGTATCACCTCATAAATTTGGTTTATTCACAAAACTGAATGCAAGCAGAATTTTCAGGACTTTCAGTTTTTAATATGCAGTTGAGGAACAGCACGCGAGACCTGAAACAACTGTGATTGACAAGAGATGCTGCCTCTCTCTCCGTAACATTCAATAACCCATGCCACACTGCTTTTAAGATTTATAAAATATTAATGCACATGATCCTTGAAACAAATGAAACAATACTCAGATAACCTGGGAAAAAAAGACCTGTTTCATACTATGTCTTTGAGAGCACAGGTAAAGCTCTTCGGGGAATTATTTTAACAACCTTCATATTCATATTACAGACAACATATTACATAACAAACTTCATCTTCATACTACAGAACCACAGAATCGTTAAGGTTGGAAAGGATCCGTGAAGATCATCTAGTCCAACACCCCTAGAGCAGGATGCTCAGAATGTTGTTTAGGCAAGTTTTGAGTATTTCCTAGAACAGCGACTCCGCAAACTCTCAAAGCAACCTCTTCCAGTGTTCAATCACTCCTAGGAGTAAAAAAAAAAAAAAAAAAAAAAAGTATTTCTTATGTTTAAATGGAATTTCCTGTATTTCAGCTTGTGCCAATTACCTCATGTCCCGTTAGGCACCACAGAGTATGGCTCTGTCTTCTTTACTGCCCCCCATCAGGTATTTACACGTTGGCAAGATCATCCGTGAACCTTCTCTTCTCCAGGCTGAACAGCCCCAGCTCCTCCAGCCTCTCCTCGTACGTCAGGCACTCCAATCTATTAATAATCTTCATGGTCCTTTGCTGGGCTCACTCTGGTATGTCCATGTCTCTCTTGTAGTGGGGAGCCCAAATCTAGACACAGCACTCCAGGTGTGTCTCACCAGTGCTGAGCAGAGAGGAAGGATCACCTCCCTTGACCTGCTGGAAACACTCTTCCTAATGGAGCCCAGGAGGCTACTAGCCATCTTTGCCACAATGGCACACCGCTGGTTCATGGTCAGTTTGTTGCCTGCCAGGACCCTCAGGTCCTTCCCTGCAAAGCTGCTTTCCAGGCAGTGTGCCCCCAGCGTGCACTGGTGCATGGGGTGACTCCTCACCAGGGGCAGGACTTGGCATTTCCCTTAGTTGAATTTGGTTTTCCAAGTTTCCCATTTGCCCATTTCTCCAGCCCACTGAGGTCCCTCTGAATGGCAGCACAACCACCTGGTGCGTCAACCCCTCCTGCCCATTTTGCATCCTCTGCAAACTTGCTGAGGGTGCACTTTGTCCCATTGTCCAAGTCATTAATGAAGAAGCTAAACACTACTGGAGCCATTATCAACCCCTGGAGTGCACCATGCCGCTGATCAGAGCCTGTGAGCCCAGCAAGTCAGACAGTTTTTATCCACCTCACTGTCCACATATCTACCATTACTTCATCAGTTTGTGTATGACATTGTGAGAGACAGCATTGAACTCCTTGCTACAGTTGAGATAAACAACATCCACTGCTTTTCCCACATTCATGAAGGCAGTCGTCTCATCACAGAAGTCTTTTGGGTTGGTCAAGCATGATGGCTCCTTGAAAAAAACACGCTGACTTCTCCAAATCACTTTCTGGTCCTTCGTATATTTGCCTTGTCCTTCCTTGTCTGGCAATGGTACCCAGAATTAGTTGCTCCACCACCTTCCCAGGGACTGAAGTGACACTGGCCAACCAACAGTTTCCACAGATCCTCTTCCTTGCCCTCCTTGAAGACAGGGGTGACATTTGGTCTCTTCTAGTCTTCAGGAATCTCCCCCAGTCACCATGGCCTTTCAAAGATTATCAAGAGTGGTCTTGCATTGACATCGTCAAGCTCTGTCAGCACTTGTGGGTGCCTCCCATCAGGTCCTGTGGACTTCTGTATGTTCAGTTTGCTTAAATGTTCCCTAGTCCTCCTCCAGGGAGAGTAACTCTTCCTTGCTCCAGACTTTCCCATGAGTTTCAGGGGCCTGGGATTGCTGAAGGTGGGTCTTACCAGTACAGACCAAAGCAAAGAAGGTTTTTTGTTCCTCACCCTCTTCCATGTCCTCCTTTTAACCAAGTCCCTCCCCCCATTCAGAAGCAGGCCCACGTTTTCCCTAGTCTCCCCTTTTGCTGCTGATACACCTGTAGAAGCCCTTTTTCTTGCCTTTCACAAGTTGAATCCCTTGCCAGATTCGACTCCAGGTAGACTGTGGCTTTCCTAACGGCATACCTGCACTCTCAGACGGTGTCTCCATATTACTCTTGGGGTGACCTGACCCTGTTTCTGTCTCTTGTGTGCTTCCTTTTTATGTCTGAGTTTTGTCAGCAGCTCCTCGTTCATGCATGTGGGCCTCCTGACGTCTTTGCTTGCCTTCCTGCATGTGGGGAAGGACCATTCTTGAGCTTGTAGGAGGTGAACCTTGAAAACCAACCAGCTCTCCTGCACCATCTCCCATATCAATCTTTCTGTATTGCTGAGGACAGCGGTAGACTGAATATGCCTGGCTAAAAATTACTTTTGTTGCAGCTGCCCTGACATACAGTGCAACTTTGACACTCACACACATCATTTATTAAACAAACCAGTATCTGTGATGAATGCTAAAGTCTCTCTCTATACCATTATTCTTATTCCCAGCGATTTCAGTCATGCAGCCTCCCTTTCTTTTCCAACAAATAAACATATTAAAATGACTTGGTATCTTTTACATCAAATATTCCAGGAAGACTCTTCCCTGCTAATACATTTTAATGATAAGACAAGAACTGTTCAGACTATTTTTGAACTACTGAAGAACCATTCGCTGAACAGACTAGCAGACCCCTGAAGACACCACAAAAAAGCCTCAAGAGTCTTCACCCAATAATAACGAAGCTTTTCACTCAGGCAGACTGTATGAATTAATTTTAGCAACAAATATGCCATGGCCCCCGTACTACCTTATTAGCAAATCTGTTACGCGCACGTAATTTGATACAAGTAAAGCAGTCTTCAGAAGTAAACTGGGATGCATTTGTGGGGTAAATTCAAGTCTTAACTAACACATGGCCAAGACTGTTCTGGCTAAGCAACCTGATCTCTCAGCCTGGAAATAAATATCCTCTTCCAAGCATTTACTGGGGAAAGGGTGGCATGAGAAGAACGTGGTACGTCTAGCTGACATATGACTTATCAACAAAGGGGCCACAGGGTAGGTGGGAACTACAGTGCCTGGGTGCAAGTGGACATCCCTAGGATTAATTCATCCACCCGCAATTCACTCCCAAGAGATTTCTGAAAAAGGTGTGCCCAGGACTGGACCAAAGATAGAAAAATTCTAACTAAACGCGCAGCTCATGACCAGATCAGTTGTAGAAACTGTAAACTCCCTGTAGCAATGGCATCTTTTTGTTGTGTGTAAAGTACACATGCACAAAGAAGGATGACCTGTATCTGGGAGCTATCAAATGCTACTATAACAAAACTAACTTTTCATGTCCAAACATCATTACTAATTCAGACAACTGCAACAGATTTCTTTCAGTCTAGAACTCCCCAAGACACACATCAATCTCTGGAGCTAGAGGTACCTTTGCTAAACCCAGAATTTCCTCCAGTCCCTTTGAGTTTCTTGATGCAACACAAGCATACTTCAGGTGGACCACTGACTTACCATAGAGCACAGAGAAAATATACTGCAAGAAGAAACCATTTAGCTGGTAAAAGTTCAAACTGTGGAGGCACCACTGTAACCAAAAAGACTAGGGTGATTAACTGTATGATTTCCCACAAACATAGCTATCTAAAGCAGAAAAAAACAGCAAGGCACTGTCTTAAATGTAACCCATAATTTTGTATTTGTCACTTCATTACTTAATGCGTTATGTACTTTGAAGTAGCTATTCACATCACTTGGCACAAGCAGACAGAAGCTGAATGTGTCAATTGCCAGTCCTCCCCTCCTTTTGCTAAATGCTCAAGAACTGAGGATAAGTAAGAAAAGGAAAGAAATTTTAGACTTTAAAGCTCTTTATTTTCATCACTTATCTTTATTTCTTTTGAAGGCAGGACTAAAATCCACTGAAAAAGCTAGACAACATTTTTGGGTCCATTCAAAACCTGGAAATTTAATCAGAGAATGTAATATAAGCAGCTTCGATTCCTTTCGATTATTTTTCTCAAGTGTTCCATTATTTCCATTAAAATTTTGGTGAGTAAATAGACTTGCTTATAACACTAGAAACTAAACCTCAGTCATTTACTTTCATTGTTCAGCAGCTGAACTGCAGGAATACGTGCCAACAAACTATTAGGAAAATGGATGCAAGTACTGTAGTACTAAAATACAAGATACTGTATAAATATATATAATGCCACATTATAAATGTAGAAGTAACTCTTTCTTCAGTACTACCTTTTTGAGTGTAAACAAATTCCAAACACTTACAATTATATGTCCTTTAAGTGCAAAGGATGTTAAAAACTGAGGAGTTAATTCTTTTGCTTTCACAGACAAAATCCTTTTGAGGCAGAAAGGCAATACTTCTGTTATCTTCCTCTTTTACAGTCTGATTCAAGGCTGACTGACCCCAGAGTCATTCCAAGCACCTCACTGGGCTGTGGGTCAGTTTCAATGAGCTACAAAAAAGTTATGATTCTATGACTTATGTATGGCAAAACCATGACTAATAATAACCACTTCAAATAATGAAAGCCATTGATTACATTGTACACAGCAGACAAAATACTTAAAGCAGAATTTCTTTACACTTCCAATTATAATTTAATGAAAGGCCTAATTTTGTTTTGGTTGGGGGTTGGTTGGGCTTCCTCCCCCTCCCAAGTTTTCAAAGAACATAATATTCTATGGATTGACACAATTCCAGAGAAAATCTGCACTGATGCTGTCAGTCAAAGAGACAGGATGGAAGATCATGGAAGATAATGAGACAGCCTGGGAGCACTAGCAAGCAAAATAAATTAGTTTCATGTATTTATATGCAAGCTTTTATAGTATTTCTGCATTGTTGCTACCTTAGCAGCATCAAAGACCCCGGTCTAGCCAGGTAAGAATGAAGACTTATAGATTTATCAATCCAAAACGGGGAGAGAGCAAGAGGGAGGAGGAAGAGGAGGGGATGATGCAAGCCAATTTCCAGCATCTGAAGCTTTTCGTAAAATAAAAGCAACTCATTTTATTTCTTTACTAAATTTCTTTAAGCTAATGGCACATATGGGAAGAAGGCAGCTGAAATCACCACTGTGAACCACTGAAATGTCTAAATGAGCGCTGTGCACACCAGTACCTTTATAAAAAGCGACCAAAGAAAAACAGTAGAGGAAAAAGCACCATCATTATCCCTTCTGATTTTCTAGAAGTTAGACCAAACAAAATTATCCAAGTATGTTTTCCCATTCTGCAAGCTGCCACCTGAAAGCTGGAATTTATGAAATGACTTAACTACCAACAGACAAGCTGTTTTCTTCTGTAAAATGCAATCCAAATGATTTCTGTTTTCGAAGACAAAGCTGATTGTTTTACAAACTTACTATCTTCATCATCTCAAAAGCATGGGGTATTTATGAAAGGACTTTAGTATAAAAGGATATTTTAAAAACTACAAGAAAGCCATGATACTGCAATAAACTTCAGGTGAAAAAAATCTATACAAGCTTAATCGAGACCTACTAAGCAAGAGGTAATTGCACAAGCAAGAACCCAAGTTCTTCCATTTCTGCCTTCTACCTGTATGTACAATAAATATACATACACACATGAGGAAAACTGAAGCTGCTGTTCTTGGACTGTGATTACAATCTGTTTGAGGTTACAAGTGCTATAGTACCTTGCTGAAGCACTGGAGCAAAACTACTCATCCCAGAAAGAATGAAATACATATTCAGGAAGAGCGGTAGAGTGTTAGGACTCCTCCAAAAACCAAGCTGTGTAGGTGAAATAGAAAGTGTTTTACAAGAGAAAAATCAAAATATCACAGTTTTACTTCGCTAAAAACAGGATTTATTTGTACCAGGTTTCCCCTGCTGGATTTTGATCCACAAGCCACAGCAGCGGGAGAGAATCAAATCCAAAGGCTTGGAACAAACTGACAAGCCTATGCTGACAGAGATGGAAACATTCAGGAACAGAAATAATGAGAAACAGAGCAGATGTAAACATTCATTTCTGCCTCTTACACACACTGCAACAGCCCCTAACTCCAAGAGCCTGCAGCGATCCAACTGCTGGCACGTTACTAACCCTTCTCTTTTAATCATCTCGCACCTGCCTAGACGCATTAAAAGCGTCTCTATAATACAGCAGTGAGATTTTATCTTTCCTCCATGCTGACATTCTAACCGGGCGGTATTACCTCTCCACCTCCCCCCAGCAACACCCGGTCAGTAAGGCGCTATTTCAAACACGAGCACGAGTGGCTTCGCGGTGGGTTTCAGCTAGCTGTTTAACGAAGACTGCCTTGACCCGAGCGGCTGGCCCCACCAGGACCGGTTTACCTCAGCGGGGGCTTTCCCCAGAGGGCCGTCCCCACACACCGCCGTCCGCGGGGGCCGGAGGGCGGGAAACGGTCCCGGCGCCGGCCGCCACCGGCACCTCAGAGCCGGGGCCGCTGAGGGGAGCCCGCGCTGCCCCGGCCGCGCTCCAGCCCAACCCGCCAACAAACTTCGGGGGAAGGGGAACCTCCCGCCTCCCCGCCCGCTGCCCCGCACGGGGCGGGACAGAGGGGTGAGGAAGCGGCGGCGGCTCCGGTACCCCCCCCACACACACCCCAAAGCTCTCCAGCTCTGTCCCGTGCCCTCCTCCCCTCACCACCTCCGCGGAGGGGCCGAACGTCCCGGCTCTCCTCCCTTCACCGCGCCATGGCGTCCCGGCCCGGCCCCCGGCCACTCACCCCGGGTGCGAAGCGGCGGGAGAAGGAAGAAGAGATGGGCGCACGCAGCGAAAAGCAGCCAGCGGCTGCAGCCGGGCTCCCGAGACATCTTGGCAAGGACCGCCGAGCCGCACGGTGCGGGGTGATGGTGCTGGGGCGGGGAAGGAGGACGAGGAGAGGGGCACGGCGCTCCCGGCTGCCCGCCTCTGCCGCAGGAGCGCGGGCGAGCGGCCTCCGGCTGGTGGCGGTGCCGCCGCCAGCCCGCCCTCCTTCCCTTCCCGTCCCTTCCCTCCGCCCCGCCAGGGCCCGGCAGGACCGGCCGCCAGCGCCGGGAGGAAGGGGAAGGCGGAGCGGCCACGGCGGCGCCCTCTGGCGGGCGGCAGCGGG